AATGGCTTTAACTCCAAAGTGGGAGGCTCCTCGATTGAGGGATTTGTTGGAGTTTCGATTTTCAAGATCCAACGGCAACTTGCAGGGTTCATAAGTGTATGACCTCATTCCTTACAATGCATTCACACATTCCACATAGACTTCATTCTCCTCATCATTATCAAGGTTGATCAGAACAGCTTCCAAATTATCCTCAATATTCATTGTGGCAGTAGCATCATCAATTATCACATGGGTCACCAAATACACGAACGAACAAACTTCATTGCTATTTGGTTGCCTCATAGATTCGCACACATGGAAGACCACCTTTTCATCACCCACCCGGAAAGTGAGCTCACCAGCTTCAACCTCAAAAAGAGTCTTCCCATAGAAAAGAAAGGTCTACCCAAAATAATAGGCACCTCATAGTACACTTCACAATCAAGGATCACAAAGTCTGCCAGAAGGATACACTTGTCAACACGAACCAACACATCATCAATAATACCCAATGGTCTCTTTATAGTACGATCCGCCATTTGCAATCTCATAGGTGTGGGTCTTGGTTGCCCAATTCCCAAAGTTTTGAACACCGAGTATGGCATCAAATTGATACTTGCCCCTAGATCACATATCAGCGCTCCCAATAGTGCAAGGGATTGTGAAAGCGCTGGGATCTTCCAATTTTAGAGCCATTAAGTGCACAATAACACTCACTTGATGTGTTATATTTATAGTCTCACAATTTATTGATCTTTTATTTGTCACCAAATCCATCATAACTTTGCATAACCCGGCATTTGCTCTAATGCCTCAACCAATGGTACATTAAGAGACAAACTCTTCATTATGTCAATAAACTTTTTGAATTGGTTCTCTTTATTTTTCTTGGCAAGCCTTTGAGGGTATGGAGGAGGAGGCCTTTCCATTGGTGACTTAGCCTTTGGCACTAGCAGTTCCGGTATGTCAACAATGTGCTCCCTACACGGGTTCACTTCTTCTTGAGTCTCCTCCACATTGTCTTCAATATCAATTCTCACCTCATCATTTACTTGCACTTCATTGCTTGGCATCTCATCTTGTACCAAATGCTCATCATCCACAATCTTCTTTTGACTTGAGATGGTTGCTTCCCCACCTTTTCCATTTCTTGTAGTCACGGTCGTGGCACGTCCCGTGTTGTTCCCACCATTCAGGTTTACCACCGTATCACTTGGTAGTGCGCCCTTAGGGCGAGTGTTCAATGCTTGTGTGATTTGACCCGATTGAACTTCCAAATTATGAATTGAAGTGTTGTGAGAGGCTAATTGAGCATCGGAGTCGGCATTCTTCTTCATCATTTGTTTGAACATGTTTTCTATTAGGCACATCTCATTGTTGGAAGAACTCGGCCATTGGGAAGGGTAGGGAGGTGGATTGCTCAATTGTTGAAACATCGGAGGCCTTTTAAAACTTGACCCCCGATTGTTGTTGTTATTCCACCCTCCTTGGTTGTTACCTCCCCAATAGACTTGATTATTTCCACTCCAATTGCCTTGGTTATTTTGACCATTCCAATTTCCTGGATTGTTCCAATTCCCTTGGTTCTTTTGATTATTCCAACCACTTTGATTGTTTTGATTGTTCCAATTGCCTTGATTGTTTGAATTCCAATTTCCTTGATTTCCTTGTGGTCGCCATTGTTGTTGCCTTGGGCCTTGATTGTTGTTTCTTTGCCCTTGGAAGTTGTTCACATATCGTGCTTCCTATTTTTGCTCATTGTATTGTCCATCTTGATCAAATCCACTATCATCTTGCTCATAGTTTTCAGCCCGGTTTTGCACTTGTTGACCCTTTTGCCTTCTCTTGTTTATCATCATACTAACTCCTTATATTGAATTTACTTGCTTGGGACCTTGCACTTGTTGAAGTTGAGCTTTGTCTAGTTGATTCATTGTGATGGTCAACTCCGCAATTGCTTGCCCATAATCATGTAACTCCTTATGCAAGTGAATCATATTTCCATCGCCTTGAGAAACGTTTGCTCTACTTTGCTATGCCGATGAAGTATCCACCATCCTATCAAGAATCTCACAAGCTTCCACATACGGCGTTGTCATGAAATTTTCACCGGCAAATTTGTTGACCATGCATTAATTGGTAGTATTGATCCTTCTATAGAAAGTTTGTTGAATCATGGCCTCCGTCATATCATTGTTCGGGCACTCTTTCACCATAGTACGGTACCTTTCCCATAGCTCATGCAAATGCTCATTAGGCTCTTGTTTGAAAGCTAGAATCTCATCCCTAAGAGTTGCCATATGACTAGGAGAGAAGAACATGGAAATGAATTTCTCGGCCAATTCATCCCAAGTATGGATGGAATGATTTGGCAACCTCTCCAACCAATCCAAGGCCTTTCCCCGAAGAGAGAAAGGGAATAGCCTCAACCGCAAAGCATCCTTATATACATTGGTTTGTTTGCTCCCCCAACAAGTGTCAACAAACCCTTTCAAGTGCTTGTATGCATTTTGATTTGGAGAACCGCTGAAGAATCCCCATTGTTCCAACAGTGTAAGCATGGCATTTGTGATTTGAAAGTTGTCTGCCCTAATGCGGGGCATGACTATGGCACTTGTGTATCTTTCGTTCGGTAACACCCAGTATGTTGCCGCTCTTGGAGGAGGTAGGAGAGGAACGGGAACGTTGTCTTGAGGCGGGGGGCTCGTCTATTTTTTTGAGGTTCAAGAGGAATCTCATCAACATGATCATCATCCCCCAATGGCACGTTTCCAAGAGGATCATTGTTATTGAGAGTCATTGTATCACCTATAATTGTTTCACAAAAAAGATTAGTAACTCGGAAGGAAAAGAAGACAAATCACACAAAAAATCAAATATATAGCTAAATCTGTTTTTAGCTCCCCGGCAACGGTGCCAAAAATTGATGTCGCCGAAACTCACACCACTAATTAGGATTGTGTGGCGCTCGAGGCAATTATAAATACCCAACATGAGTCGGGGTCGATTCCACAAAGAGCTTTATGTGGGATTAGGTATATACCTAGTCTAGTGTATGATGTGTCCAAGATTGCACTTCCACATATTTGGTTGTTTCTTTCTACTTCTAATGATTATGCTAATGTTTACAAATGAAAAGCTATAGACCGATATTTTTGGTATTGTTTTTCAAGTTTATAAAAGATCTAGGGTCGTGGCTTCCACCTAGGTGGCTACCTAACAGGCTGTAGGTTCTAGGGAAAGTTTGATTGGTCAGAGTCATAATATAGCAATCACACGCAATTACCCACTCAATACCTTCGGTAGTTAGAGTGATTTTGCCCAATTTGGCTTTCTCAAGTCCAAATGGGTATTGCACAAAATAAGTGATAAATGCTCAAGTCAGGTCTTACTATCTCTAGATTAAACCCTTTAATTCTGGCTATCAATTTCTTGAATTCACCTAAGTTCCTTATTAGCCAAGTTTTCCTAGACGTAGTCTCTCTTTCTCAAGTAGATACTAAGTCAATTAGGCATGAATCAATGTTTGCCACCATTAATTCTTGAATTCAAGCAAGAACTAGGCTAAATATCACTAACCCAATCACAAACAAACCCTGAATCAAACACACATTAAGTAATACACTAGGATTGGGTCATAACCCTTGCTAGAAATTTAGTTACTCATAGAAAATGAAGTAATTAAAGAAGAAGCTAAGATAAAATTCATAATAGATGATTAAGGGAAGAAAAACTAATGTTAAAATGTTAAACTATTACAAAGTTACCCAGTACAGTAATAAAAAATGGTTATCTATTCTCAAGTGCACCAAACTTAACCTAAAAATGATAAAAAGATCTATTTATACCCAGCTAAAATTATCAGACATGCCCCTGCAGAGGTTGTACGGTCGCACAATTACGTAAGCGGTCCGCACATTGAGACTTGGCTTGACAGGTCCAAATCTGCAGCCGCATAATTCTAGGTTGCGGCCGCATTCCTTCAACTTCTGCGGACACGCACATTTCTGAGTGTGGCCGCACTCTTGATTCTGTGGCCGCACAATAATGGTGTGGTTCGCACTCCTTCATGGACCAAAATCACAACTCACTGAACTTCATCTTCTGCGGCCGTAGTATAATTATGCGGTCCGCACTTTGTAAAGGAAAATTGACAGAGGCTGCCTCATGTTCTGTGGCCGCACTCAGTATTGTGCGGTCCACATTTTGCCCGTTTTAGCCTTGTTTTGGTCCTTGTCCAAAATTACTTCTTCTTGAGTAGATTTTCATCTCTTTAGCTCATATTTCTACACTCGTACAAGAAAGCACATTTCATTAGTTTTAGAGAATACCTTTAAGCAATCTTGAGCTAAAAACGAAAGTAAAAGAATGCAAATAAGTAGTCAAAATCCCTACTTATCACTACCCAATGAATTTTGACTTATTTATTTAATCCATATGCATTGGAAATATATCATTAATCTATTTATATTAGCCCGAAATATTTATTTGGATTACTATATTTGAAATATAGTCCAAATTATTTTTGAATTTTTGTTCCGATAAAATTGATATGCCTACAATATTCTTTATTCCAATTATCGGAAATATAATTGGAATTCCGATGAAAAATCAGTTAGGCGGAAAACTCCATCCAAATTTTAGCTATTTTCTTTTGAACTTCGATTTGTTTGTTGCACTAGCCTTTTCTTTTTATTGCACTTGCGTTTTTAATTAGCCAATTAGCCAAATCTTTCCTTTAATTTTGCTTAAGTAAATTCAAAATAATTCCTCTATGTGAAGAAATTAAATGATATAAAAGCTTATTGTGCCTTATTTTCCCTCCTATTCTCCTCGTCCTTTTGGTGTAGGGGTACTATTCTTGTGGTTTTATCTTTCTAGATACATATATAACTTTTAATTTGAATAATTTTGAGGTGGTGCAATAAACGGGTAAGCAAGAGACCGTTGGACTTATCAATCTTTCTTAGATTTTCATAACAGTTATAAATGTTATATAGATATTGATCCTAGTCACTATGCCGCGTCAACGCAAAATTATAATAATTCAACTGATAATCTTGATATGGGGATTTTTCGTAAGTTGTTCAATTATGGTGAAATGCAATAATTTTCATTCCAAAATGTCGAAATCAACCTGATTCGCATCATTTGATTATCCTCATCTATTCATTCACTTACAACTTTAACTTTTTCCTTTATTAATCTTTTGAACATAATCCTCCTCTATATAAATCATAGAGTCGTGTCTTTTCAAGATATTGATTTTAAGTTTCTGTAGGGTGATCTTTTGTTCTAGCGTCACATCATGGTAATTCATCTTATTCACTTGATCTACCTCAAATCGATCATTTAAGAAACATTTTGCGTTTCTTCTTAATAAGATCTTCTCTCTTTGTTGTTTCAGAAACAAGACTCCCCATTCCAATAATGATTAATAAGCTCTGCTTGTAAAATAAGTTTATGTCATGAATAATTCCTTATTTGCGTGTTGTTAATCTTGCTCTATGGTGTTGTAATAATTTTTCTATGATGTTGTAGTAATTTTCAATGGTGATATGTATACTTTTCGCTTGTGCGGATTGCTCTATTTTTAATTTATTCTCCTTTTGTCCTGATGAAAATGATCTTCTAAAAATAGTTTAGATATATTATTTAAGGACATTTTTTCCTTCCTTTAGAATTTTTTCTATAAATGAATTTTTGGTAATTTTTTGTTGTTATTTTCAATTTTCTTGATGTAGTCTTCCTAACCTCCACAGGACAAGGCAATCAATTCCAAAAAAAGGGCACCAACACCGACTATAACGTCAACTCAACCGTGGAAGGATGCTGCAAGCAGAAATGTAAGATTATTCGAATCAACTTTCCTTGTTACATTTTTAATTTGGTATTATCCTTAGTTTTTAAAGGGATTTATATATTGATATATTACCTATGATTTTAAAGTTGAGTTGGATATCTAAATTCTTTGACTTATTAGTAAACTTAATTTTCACTCAGAAGTTTATAGAATCGTTACACTAATAACCATTTGAATTCATTATTTACTTTTCTTAACAGCGTATAGATTATACACTTATTATATATATAATATTTAGCGATTATTTTTTAATTTAAACGACTCGGTGAACGACTATTAGGTTAATTCTTTTAGTTGTGTTTAGGATTCTTGCCCGGAAGTCAATAACTTTAGTCTAACTTTACTTTAACCTTCCATTAACTTGGTGCAGTACGCAAATAACCAATAAAATATATAGTCTTAAATTTTTGTTTCCGTTCACCCTATATCATGACCCAAAATCTTTCCTTTTTCACCATAAGAAAGATACAATGACACGACCTTTGGGTTGCCCGATTGGTTTGGAGGGCGGTCATTCATACGATTGGTATGTGATCGATTCTTTCCTCAATGTCTTTTGGGTTGAATCTGTCGCACAGGACTTGCCTAGAGTGGTTTACATCCCTAGTGTGGTTTGCATGTTATTATACATGGGGAGATTTACCCGGTGGGTACAAAATACTCGCCACAAAGTGCTCACCCGAAGGGCAGAGGTTGTAACAGCTGCAGGTCCCTCTTACCCAAAAAAAAAAAAAAAAAAAAAAGAAAATACAACAACAGAAGAAAGATTGAAATAGCAACCAAAAACCCAATTCCACCGTCTTCACATCGCGCCACCCCTTGGAAAAACGCAACTCTCAAACCATCGTACCTTCACGCCATTCCCATAAAAGACCCAATTGTACAAAAATGAGCTCAGCGCAACACGGTCAGTAAACATAATAAGGGAACAAATGTAATTATAGGTGGTTCATCAGAAAATGGATTTTATTAAAATAAAAAATATTTTTTCTGAAAAAAACGACGTGATTAATAAATTAATGTGATTGAGGGACAGAAACTATTAGAGGCGTTTAAGTTGAGGTGTCAAGATGAAGAACTATGAAATAGATGGGCTGGAATTTCGAAACAGTGCAAGTACAAATATCTATTGGATGATTTCTTCTTCGCCTTCTGTCTACTCTAAATTGAAAATTGTTAGAAAGATGTATTTATAAACTAATTCTGAAAAAAAAAACAGAATAAGATATAAACAGAAAATGTAAAGAGATAAAAATCAATTCGAGCCCATTGAATTTACAATGTTTTCTAAGTAATTTAATCTCATCCTAATACCCAAGGTTATGGATTATTTCCTCACTGGATAGAATGAATTACACACTGATATAGTGGTACTTCAAACCCCAGAATTTCAGCGAACATAAAGTTCGGTAGCAAATCACACTTACTGTTGATTTGATTGATGTTAAAAGTATGCAGAAGGAGGAGGAGAAACTCAGAAAATCGTATGGAAATTCTGAGAGAATAGACTTGTATTTATAGCCAAAGTTGGGCTGAAATCTGAAGAGGTGCAACTCTTCAGAATGGTTGTTTCTGCAAAATGGCCACAACATAAATGTCATAACATAAATGACTATTTACTCAACAATAAAGCGAGAAAATAAAGAGGGAAAATTGAAGAGGGCAGTTTAATTTTCAGTTACGCAACTGAAAAACGAAAAACTGATTAGATTTAATATTAATATTTATTTTGATATTAATATTTTGTTATTAAAACGAATATTTAATAACATTTCTGTTAATATTTTACTATTAACAAATATTTGGTCCAAAAAATTAATCAATCGACGATCATTTGACCAAATCCAAATCTGAATCTGAATCCGAAGCCGAAGCCGAGCCGAGTGAGCGACGACGACGACGACGACGACGCGAGGCTTGCCTTCTTCTCAACTCTTTAAGAGGTAGAAGAAAAGCAATTTCTTATATACCCATAAAAATCTCTTCCTCTTCCAATATGGGACAATGTTCCTTTATCAAGGGGGAAAACTTATAAAATTTATTTACAATTAACAAATAAATTTGGTCCAAAAAATTAATCAATCAATCGATCATTTGACCAAATGCAAATCCAAATCCAAATCCAAATCCGAAGCCGAAGCCGAAGCCGAAGCTGAAGCCGATCTGAGCAAGCGACGACGCCGACGGCGCGAGGCTTGCTTTCTTCTCAACTCGTTAAGAGATAGAAGAAGAGCAATTGCTTATATACCCATAAAAAACCTCTTCCCCTTCCAATATGGGACAATGTTCTTTTATCAAGGGGGGAACTTAAAATTTCACTTAAAAATTTAATTTTCCTCCATTTTTCATTCACCCTCTTTTAAATATTTAATATACTTAAAACCCCCCACAATCCTCCACATGAATGGGGAATGGCTATATCACGGAAATATGCATGAAAAACTGTATGATTCGCAAGCAAGGATTAATTGCATCTGTATAAGTAGGTTTCCCTTTGAACTTTCCGTAGTGAACTTATGTCGGATATACTCAGTCAATCGGTAGATTTGATATCTTTGAACCGTCGATCTTTGGTGTATACCTAGACAACCATAAGTCACACAATCAACCCTTAACCGTCTTTGGTTCTCATTGTTGTGTTCGTTTCAGCCATAAACACCACCTAATTTTATAAGTGCGTATAGAACTGGAGTTACAAAGTTCTCCTTGAAGCGGCTAACACTTCACACTTACATAGGTGATTCCTAAACGAGTCATCCCATAGAAACACTATTTGATATACCCTGTATCAAATTTAGAAATTATTAAAAAGCCTTAATGTTTTATCCTTGGTACTGAACATTATCTCATCATGAGAATGGACCAAAGGTTTAGTTGACAATGTTGAACCGTCATTAGTGACTTTGTTTGATCTCCTTAAACCTAGATCTTGGGATCTCCAGTTTTCTAGATAAAGTTACCTCCACTATGACTTGTTCTCTGCCATAGTCCCATTCTCCTTGATAATTTCTCAACTACCTCTCTAGTTAGGCCTTTTGTAAGTGGATCTGACACATTATCGCTTGACTTTACATAGTCAATCGTGATAATTCCTCTAGAGAGTAATTGCCTAACCGTTTTATGTCTTCGTCGTATATGACGAGATTTACCGTTATACGTAATGTTTCCATCCCTTCCAATTGCCGCTTGACTATCACAATGTATGCATATTGGTGCCAACAGTTTAGGCCAAAATGGAATGTCTTCAAAGAAATTCCGGAGCCATTCAGCTTCTTCATCGGCTTTATCTAAGGCCATGAATTCAGCCTCCATTGTAGAGCGGGAAATACAAGCTTGTTTGGACGACTTCCAAGATACTGCTCCTCCACCAATAGTGAATACATATCCACTTGTGGACTTTGAATCAGCTGAACTGGTGATCCAATTTGCATCATAATATCCCTCAACCATCGCAGGATATTTACTGTAGTGTAAAGAAAAGCCCTGGGTATGTTCTAAATATCCCAAAACTCGTTCCATTGTCATCTAATGAGATTGACCTGGATTGCCCGTGTATCGACTTAACCTACTTATAGCATAAGCTATATCTGGTCGTGTACAATTCATGATGTACATTAAGCATCTCAACACACGAGCATAATCCAATTGTGATATGCTTTGGCCTTTGTTCTTTGCTAATGCAAGATTCACGTCAATTGGAGTCTTTGCAATTTTAAACCCTAAGTGCTTGAATTTTTCAAGTACTGTTTTAATATAATGAGATTGTGACAATGCCAGACCTTGAGAAGTCTTATAGATCTTAATCCCCAGAATTAAATCAGCAACTCCCAAGTCCTTCATATCAAACTTGCTAGTTAGCATATGCTTAGTAGAATTTATTTTGGTAAAGTCATTACTCATTATCAGCATATCGTCCACATATAAGCAAACAATAACTATGTGATTTGGAACATTTTTAATGTAAACACATTTATCACATTCATTTATCTTAAAACCATTTGACAACATTGTTTGGTCAAATTTCGTATGCCATTGTTTGAGTGCTTGTTTTAGTCCGTAAAGGGACTTAACAAGTCTACATACCTTCTTTCTTTACCTGGAACCACAAACCCTTCAGGTTGTTCCATGTAGATTTCTTCCTCCAACTCTCCATTTAAGAAGGCCGTCTTAACATCCATTTGATGAATTTCGAGACCATAAACTTTAGTTAACATTACTAACGTTCATATGGACGTAATTCTTGTAACTGGAGAGTATGTATCAAAGTAGTCAAGACCTTCTCTTTGTCTATACCCTTTGACTACAAATCTTGCCTTAAATTTATCAATAGTGCCATCATCTTTCATTTTTCTCTCAAAACTCCATTTAGAACCCAAAGGTTTATTTCCAGGAGGAAGATCAACCAATTCCCATGTATGGTTATTCAATATGGATTCTATTTCACTATTGACTGCCTCTTTCCAAAACAATAATTCCGAAGAAGACATAGCTTCTTTAAATGTTCGAGGCTCATTTTCCAACAAGAAAGTCACAAAATCTTGTCCAAATGAAGTAGACATTCTTTGTCGTTTACTACGTCGTGGATCCTCTTGATTAAATGTACTTTCTTTTGTTTCTTCCCGAGGTCATTTAGATCCTTCACCAATCGACTCACATTCCTTTTTATATGGATATATATTTTTTAAAAACTCAGCATTATCTGATTCTATAACCCTATTATTATGAATGTCGGAATTTTCTCATTTATGAACCAGAAATCGATATGCTTTACTATTGGTCGCATATCCTATGAAAACACAATTAACAATTTTTGGTCCTATTTTTACTCTTTTGGGTTAGGAACTTGCACTTTTGCCAAACACCCCCACACTTTAAAATAATTCAAGTTGGGCTTCTTTCCTTTCCACTTTTCATAAGGAATGGATTGTGTTTTGCTATGGGGTAGTCGATTTTGTATTCAGTTATCCGTAAGAATAGCTTCCCCCTACAAGTTCTGTGGCAAACCAGAACATATCAATAATACGTGCATCATCTCATTTAATGAACGGTTCTTTTTTTCTACAATCCCATTGGATTAGGACGTGCAAGGGGCCGTTGTTTGATAAATAATTCCATATTCTAAATATATTTGTTCAAAAGAAGATTCATATTCACCACCCCTATCACTTCTTATCATTTTGATTTTCTGGTTAAGTTGCGTTTTAACTTCATTTTTGTATTGCTTGAATGCGTCTATTGCTTCATCTTTACTATTAAGTAAGTAAACATAGCAATATCGAGTACTATCATCAATAAAAGTTATGAAATACTTCTTTCCACCGTGAGATAGTATTGACTTCATGTCGCAAATATCTGTGTGAATTAAGTCTAATGGATTTGAATTCTTTTCAACTGACTTATAAGGATGTTTAACATACTTAGATTCCACACATATTGACATTTTGATTTGTCGCATTCAAATTTAGGCAATATTTTCAAATTAATTATTTTTCGCAAGGTTTTATACTTAACATGACACAAACATATATGCCATAATTCATTTGACTCAAGTAAGTAAGACGAAGCTGAAATTTTATTATTATTTTTAACAACCATTACATTCAGCTTGAAAAGGCCCTCAGTGAGGTAACCTTTTCCTACAAACATTTCGTTTTTAGTTATTACAACCTTATCGGAAACAAAAACACACTTAAAACTATTTTTAACAAGAAGTCCAACAGAGACTAAATTCTTCCTAATCTCGGTAACATGAAGGACATTGTTCAAAGTCACTACCTTGCCAGAAGTCATCTTTAGAAAGATCTTTCCACATCCTTCAATATTGGCGGTTGCAGCATTTCCCATAGAAAGAGTCTCTTCGGGTCCAACAGGAGCATATATTGCAAAAACTTCTCTAACAGCACAAACATGGCGAGTGGATCCAAAATCAATCTACCACTCCTTAGGATTTCCCACCAGGTTGCATTTAGAAAGCATAGCACACAAGTCATCAACATCTTCATGTTTTTCAACCATATTTGCTTGACCCTTCTTCTTGTCTTTCTTTGGAGCGCGACACTCCGTAGATTTGTGCCCAGCTTTCCCACAGTTGTAGCAATTTTCGTTGAACCGCTTCTTACTTGGGTTGCTTTTCGGTTTAAAAGCATGCTTCCTCTTTTTCTTATTTTGAGAAGTATCCTCAATAATGTTTGCTCCCATTATTGTTGAGTTTCCACGACCTCTCTTTTCAGCAGCTTTGTTGTCCTCTTCAATTCTCAACCGAATAATGGGATCTTCAAGGGACATTTCCTTGCGTTTGTGTTTCAAGTAGTTTTCGAAGTCCTTCCACAAAGGAGGCAACTTCTCAATCATCATGCTACTTGGAATGCTTCATTGATGACAAGACCTTCAATGAATTCTGTTAGTAAGAATATTAAGATTACTACTTCCAATATCAGTATTAATTAGATTTATACCTTCATCAAGGAGATTGTGAATAATCGCTTTCAATTCCTGGACTTGGGTAATAACAGACTTGCTATCTACCATTTTGTAGTCCAAAAACTTGGCGGCAACGAATTTCTTCAACCAGACATCTTCAGTTTGTATTTCTTTTCAAGCGCAGTCCACAATTCTTTTGACATCTTCACGCCACTGCAGACATTATACAAATCGTCCTCCAGTCCTCTAAGAACATGATTCTTGCACAAAAAATCATAATGCTTCCACGCCTCAATCACGAGAAAGCGTTCATTTTCTGGAGTTTCATCAGGCAGAACAGGAACATCTTCCTTGATGAACTTCTGCAGACTTAAAGTAGTCAAGTAGAAGAACATATTCTACTGCCACTGCTTGAAATCTAACCTGAAAATTTTTTCGTGTTTCTCCGCCGGTGCCAACGCCGGTGTTTGGCTTGTTGATGCGTTGGCAGTCAGCATTGGAACAGCCTGGTTCCCGTTATTATTAGTCATTTCTATAAAAGAATGACACAAATGTTAAAATCACGTAGATTTTAATCTCCAACGGAGTAAAAAATCACAATGGTTTTAAACTCCAAAATAGTGAATATAACACAAATACAGAATACAAATTAAATTCCTTAAGCTTTTTAGAAATCTGTATTTGTAAACTAATTCTGGAAAAAACAGAATAACATATAAACATAAAATGTAAAGAGATAAAAATCAATTCGAGCCCACTGAATTCACAGTGTTTCCTTAAGGAATTTAATCACCTCCTAGTACCCAAGGTTATGGATTATTTCTTCCTAGGATAGAACGAATTACACACTGGTGTAGTGGTACTTCAAACCCCAGTATTTCAGCGAACACAAAGTTCGGTAGCAAATCACACTTACTGTTACTTTGTTTGATGTTAAAAGTATGCAGAAGAAGGAGGAGAAACTCATAAAATCGTATGGAAATTCTGAGGGAATAGACTTGTATTTATAGCCAAAGTTGGGCTGAAATCTGAAGAGGTGCAACTCTTCAGAATGACTGTTTCTGCAAAACGGCCACAACATAAATGGCTATTTACTCAACAATAAAGAGGGACTGAAAAACGAAAAACTGATTGGATTTAATATTAATATTTATTTTAATATTAGTATTCTGTTATTAAAACAAATATTTAATAACATTTCTATTAATATTTTACTATCAACAAATAAATTTGGTCCAAAAAATTAATCAATCAATTGATCGAAGTCGAAGCCGAGCCGAGCGAGCGAGCGACGACGACGCGAGACTTGCCTTCTTCTCAACTCTTTAAGAGTTATAAGAAAAGCAATTGCTTATTTATGAGACAATGTTCCTTTGTCAAGGGGGAAAACTTAAAATTTCACTTAAAAATTTCATTTTTCTTTATTTCTCATTCACCCTCTTTTAAGCATTTAATATACTTAAAAACCCCATAAAAGTTGAATCTCATATCTCATACAATAGTTGTGTGAGATTACGTAAATTTATGACAAATGGCATTTTTAAAGGTCCAACCTCCCAAGTCACAACTCATCACGTCTTGCTCTTTTCTCTTATCTCTTTCATTGTTTTTCATTTCATCTCTTCGTTTCTATCTCCTCTTCCTCCTCCATTTCCAGGCCTTGTCATCTTCTTTTTATCTCACTCATTTGAATTCAGCAATCCAAATAATAAAAAGATCTTTACCGGCATACTAACAAAAAGTTAAAATAAAAAAATTAGTGTTCTTCAATGCTTGATTTGGAAGTTATCTTTTCTTTTTGGGTGGATCTGAATTTGAGAGTTTAATCTCTTTAGTTATCTTTTTCAACCCTCAAATTCATAAAGAGAAGGAGAGGAGTATTTTGAAGGTTAATAATGTTCCTTTATTTTAGTTTCATTTTATTAGGTATATATATTTAACCAATTTGTGTGCTTAAGGCTGACAATGCCCTTATTTATTTTTCAAAATTGTAAATGCCCCGTACAACTATGACATGGCATATGAGAGAGAGTAAGATTTTGTGGCTCTGAATTATACTTTTCTTCATCTTCTTCTTAATATTTTAGTGAAAAATGACTTTGTTATGCGAAACAAATTATTTACCTTTACTAGGCGATAAACATCAATTATATATTGTTATACATATATTATAAATGGATTACTAATCGTTAATCTCATTCTTATGTCATGCTTAACATAATTTTACTAATTGAAAATTAAAGGTTGAAATATCAAAGAAGAGAAAAAGCGAGAAGCTGCCAGCTGGATACACAGGAACACTGGAGGAAAAATTAAAGGTTGAAAAGTTTTTTGCTGATGCTCGGAATAATCTCATGAACCCTAATAAGAATGGGGAAAAACTCGAGCTTGAAAAGTTTTATGCTACTGCTTGGAATAACCTCATGAACTCTGGTAAGAATGAGGAAACAAATCAAGAGACCACTGGTCAAAAAGAAGAGTAATCTCATATTGAGTCCTAGTTTTAAGCTCAGTGCAACCCTATGTTTTGAAGATCTTTTACCATCAAGAACTTGTTCTAAATGTTGGTTTCTTATTTAAGTATTAAGAACTTATGTTTTGTTTGTCTCTTTTCCTTTTATTAAGATTGTGATCAATAACCAAGGTTATGTTACCTTGTATCAATTGGTGTGAAATTCTTCTTTGACTTTATAGATGTCAATTTCCATCAAATATATTCAGCAGATAGTCATTTTAATCTGGTGTCATGGTTTATTTTGGTGGGTTGTGTTTTTGTGATTCACATAGATTTGATTTGACTCATTAATTCCATTTTATAGAGAATATGTACCACTATAACCAAACATATATAATTGGAACGGTCTGTAGTTCCATTGTGAAGGTGAAAAAACTGAAATACTCATTTATTTGGCGTTTGGATTGAGAAGTGTGATGAGAAACCTTTTCTAGTGTTGAATTTCTTAAAAATATTTTCGGGTGATTTTCAGTTATTCCAGGAAAATCGAAGTATTCTTCTATTGATGTTTTTCGAACAAAAAAATCATTTTTTTGGGGACCATATACTTGTTATTGTCCATAAAGATGTATGATACTCATGCGCAAAATGCAGGGCCGGTTCTAATGTGATGAGGGGTAATGGTAAAAATAGCATGGGCTAGCCAGTTTTCGGACTGATCACTAAAAAATAGTCAGCGTTTGCTAAGTCATTGAAAAATAGTCACTATTTTGCTGCAACAGAGACCGGTCCAACACAATATACTGGAGTTCGGTGCATCTGTGTATGAACTTCCAGCATATTATGCTGAAACTCCAACACGCGGAAAGTTCCAGCATAATATACTAGAGATTTGAGCACCTTTGTATGAACTTCCAGCATATTATGCTGAAACTCCAACACGCGGAAAGTTCCAGCATAATATACTAGAGATTTGAGCACCTTTGTATGAACTTCCAGTTTATTATACTGGACTGGTATACTTTGCTGGAACTCTAGTATATTATGCTGGAGTTCTAGTATACTTATGCTAGAACTCCATTATGCTGGAGTTCCAGTATACTTATGCTGGAACTCCAATATAATATACTGGAGTATTTTCCGGATTTTGAATGGTGTTTTCGTTCAGATTTATCTTTACATAAAAAGTGGCTAAATTTCGATTACTTTTGAAAGTGTGGCTATTTTTAAATGACCACTTATAAATCTGATTATTTTTGAATTTCTCTTGGGGTAAGGCTTGTGCCTTAGGCCCTTTTTTTTTTTTTTAAATAATAGGTTTATAGGTATTTAAAAGATAATATTTAATCCTTTTAAAACAAAGTTGAGTTTTTAATATAAAAGAAAAGAGAACTTTTTAGATATATAAATAAAGTAATAATTTGACATATTTAAAAATGGGTAGATAGCTTTCTCAACGTTTTTGTTTTACTCATTCATATTAGATATTAGATAACGTATAAAAATTTATTCTCCATTTCTTAATATGTCCAAGTCAATCTATCTTTTCTCCAATCTATTTATATCACAAATCCTTACATATTATATGTCTTTCTCTTTAATATTCTTACTCACCTTCTTTCTCCAAGATTTCATTAGTTCAAGTATTCAACAATACTTTTAAGCTTCCAATAGTTTTATACTTCTATTGCTCTACAAAATCTGCTAAAATCTGCCATGGTTGAATGAGCTACAAGCTCAATTCTCTTTTTGTAAAATACAGAGCATATGAACGAGAGAGTGAAGAAGAGGAGAAAATATTTGACAATGTTAACTTGCTCTATTCATTTACAATATAATGTTTATATACATGTTTACTCTACTAACAATCTTGAGCTGGAATCATTAATTTACAGCTGTCACACTAGGTAACTAACAGAGCAACTACTCCACTCACTAACTGTAACGACCTTAACTAACTAATATCACTACAAGAAAAGTGTCATTTACATGGGGATTTTATATGGGGATTTTTTGTGCAGGTAATACATGCGGATTTTCATGGGAAAATCTAAAATTCCTAAATATAAGAATATGGTACTTGCGAAAACGTAATTCCCAGAAAATTCTGCAGGTATATTTAGCGCCATCTAGCGCGAAAATAGCACTTGGGGAATTAGTTGGGAATTAAATTCGCATATACCATATCCGCAGGTAAATCCGCAGAAAAGAGAACGAAAAAAAATAAAAAAAATTCCTTTGATAATCCGCATGAATATCTCCAGGTAGACTACCTGCGAGTTTTGCTAGGGATAATCACATGGGGTCTTACATGGGGATATTATTTACTTGAAAAATTACCTGGGGATATTATTACTGCAGATTTTGTTGGGGATCTATTCGTGGGGATTTACTTGGGGATATACGTACCTGTGGAATTATGTGCGAATATAGTTTCTGCAATTTTAGTTGGGGATATATTCTTGGGGATTTACTTCGGGATATTTGTACCTGCAGAATTACATGGGAATAAAATTGTTGTGATTTTAGCTGGGGTTTTATTCATGGGGATTTACATGGGGATAGCAGTATTACTTGGGAAATTTCATGTGTTATTGAGCCACACGATGAAATACATTGTAGAAGTGCAACAAATAATTGACTTTTATGATATCTTTCTTTACATTACGAACGATACACTTCGCTCTGCTCCATGTGTTCACTAACGCTCCTATTCAGAGTGTTTTATTAAATAAATATTACAATTAATGGTTATCAAGGAGTAGAGGGACTCGATGTTATAATCATTATCGTCTAGTAAACTGACTATAAAGATGATGATATATTTGTTTGCATAAGTAACATATAAAGAACAAGATGATTATCGTTGGGTAAACTAACTATAGTAGTGATATTAGTTTTTAAACTGAAATACTCATTTATTTGGCGTTTGGATTGAGAAGTGTGATGAGAAACCTTTTCTAGTGTTGAATTTCTTAAAAATATTTTCGGGTGATTTTCAGTTATTCCAGGAAAATCGAAGTATTCTTCTATTGATGTTTTTCGAACAAAAAAATCATTTTTTTGGGGACCATATACTTGTTATTGTCCATAAAGATGTATGATACTCATGCGCAAAATGCAGGGCCAGTTCTAATGTGACGAGGGGTAATGGTAAAAATAGTACGGGCTAGCCAGTTTTCGGATTGATCATTAAAAAATAGTCAGCGTTTGTCAAGTCATTGAAAAATAGTCACTATTTTGCTGCAACAGAGACCGGTCCAACATAATATACTGGAGTTCGGTGCATCTGTGTATGAATTTCCAACATATTATACTGAAACTCCAACACGCGAAAAGTTCCAGCTTAATATACTGGAGATTTAAGCACCTTTGTATGAACTTCTAGTTTATTATACTGGACTGGTATACTTTGCTGAAACTCTAGTATATTATGCTGGAGTTCTAGTATACTTATGCTAGAACTCCATTATGCTGGAGTTCCAGTATATTTATGCTGAAACTTCAATATAATATACTGGAGTATTTTCCGGATTTTGAACGGTGTTTTCGTTCAGATTTAATTTTATATAAAAAGTGGCTAAATTTCGATTACTTTTGAAAGTGTGGCTATTTTTGAATGATCACTTATAAATCTGATTATTTTTGAATTTCTCTCGGGTAAGGCTTGTGCCTTAGGCCCTCAGATTTGGGGGCCCATTTTTTTTTTTAAATAATAGGTTTATAGGTATTTAAAAGATAATATTTAATACTTTTAAAACAAAGTTGAGTTTTTAATATAAAAGGAAAGAGAACTCTTTAGATATATAAAGAAAGTAATAATTTGACATATTTAAAAATGGGTAGATAGCTTTCTCAACGTTTCTGTTTTACTCATTCATATTAGATATTAGATATTGGATAACGTATAAAAATTTATTCTCCCTTTCTTAATATGTCCAAGTCAATTTTTCTTTTCCCCAATCTATTTATATTTCACAAATCCCTATATATTATGTCTTTCTCTTTAATATTCTTACTCACCTTCTTTCTCCAAGATTTCATTAGTTTAAGTATTCAACAATACTTTTAACTTTCCAATAGTTCTATACTTCTATTGCTCTACAAAATCTGCTAAAATCTGCCATGGTTGAATGAGCTACAAGCTCAATTCTCTTTTTGTAAAATACAGAGCATATGAACGAGAGAGTGAAGAAGAGGAAAAAATATCTGAAAATGTTAACTTGCTCTATTCATTTACAATGTAATGTATATATACATGTTTACTCTACTAACAATCCTGAGCTGGAATCATTACTTTACAGTTGTCACACTAGGTAACTAACAGAGCAACTACTCCACTCACTAACTATAACGACCTTTACTAGCTAATATCACTACAAGAAAAGTGTCATTTACATGGGGATTTTACATGGGAATTTTTTCTGCAGGTAATACATGCGGATTTTCATGGGAAAATCTAAAATTCCTAAATATAAAAATATGGTACTTGCGAAAACGTAATTCGCAGGAAATTCTGCAGGTATATTTAGCGCCATCTAGCGCGAAAATAGCATTTGGGGAATTAGTTGGGAATTAAATCCGCATATACCATATCCGCAGGTAAATTCGCAGAAAAGAGAACGAAAAAAAAATAAAAAATTTTCCTTTGATAATCCGCATGAATATCTCCAGGTAGACTACGTGAGTTTTGCTAGGGATAGTCACATGGGATTTTACATGGGGATATTATTTACTTGAGAAATTACATGGGGATATTATTACTGCAGATTTTGCTGGGGATCTATTCGTGGGGATTTACTTGGGGATATACGTACCTGTGGAATTATCTACGGATATAGTTTCTACGATTTTAGTTGGTGATATATTCTTGGGAATTTACTTGGGGATATTTGTACCTGCAGAATTACATGGGAATAAAACTGTTGTGATTTTAGCTGGGGGTTTATTCATGGGGATTTACATGGGGATATTTATACTTGCAGTATTACTTGGGAAATTTCATGTGTTTTTGAGCCACACGAATGAAATACATTGTAGAAGTGCAACAAATAATTGACTTTTATGATATCTTTCTTTACATTACGAACGATACACTTCGCTCTGCTCCATGTGTTCACTAACGCTCCTATCCAGAGTGTTTTATTAAAAAAACATTACAATTAATGGTTATCAAGGAGTAGAGAGACTCGATGTTATAATCATTATCGTCTAGTAAACTGACTATAAAGATGATGATATATTGGTTTGCATAAGTAACATACAAAGAACAAGATGATTATTGTTGGGTAAACTGACTATAGCAATAATATTGGTTTATAAACCAATATAAAGGTGATATAAGCAATATATATATATTGCTTAGATAAACTAATATATCACCTTTGTATTTTGCTTGCTTGACGATAATATGATAGTAATCTTACTATCATTGAGGTGATGTTTTGCCATATATTGCTTTTGCCTCCATGATAGTAAGATTGATCGATTACTATAGGTATTGTTTAATTAATTATAATTTTATCTTATTAAAATAATTGTTGTAGTGAGAATTTATTTATTTATTTATTTCGAACACAATTATAAGTAAAACGATAAATCTCACTAAGACATCCAATCAATTACTCTTTGATAAAAAGGAATAACTTTAGATCAAAGAATAAAAAATCAATTTGCATTTGCGAACAATATATAATGACATCAAATTGAGTAGTATAGTCAAAAAAAATTTTGAGTCATTTGAATTTTATTTTTTGAATTTTTTTAAAAGTGGAAATTATATATTTTTTCCGTGACGTATTATTTATCTTTTTTTTAATCACTGAAATAGTTCTATTTATATATTCAATAATTTTCACTTTAATATATTAATATAGATTTATAAAGACAAGAATTATACATAAAATTAAATAAATACAATTTTTTCTTAAAAATTAAAGTATAATTTTAATTTAAGTTTTGTGGCTCATTGTTCTTCAAATTAAAAGAAACACATATATGGTAGTACTGTCCACGGAAAGCCCTTGTGATATTAAAAAAAAAAGAACTAGTATCGAGAGAGATGACATAAGGAGGCAGCTAACAAATAAATACAATTGAAAAGAAATAACCGCACAATTGATTTGTTTCCCTCTTAAGGTTTTTTCCCAAATACAGAACGCGGGGTTTTTTCCCTCTCTAAGATGGCTCTCAATTTCTGAAACCCTTCACATTGCAATACCAAATTCTAGGGCTCAAGTGTTTCTCCAAAATACAATTATTCTCGACCCAAGGCTTTCCTCTCACGGTCAACAATCCTCGGCAAAGGCCTGAAGAAGGTAATCCACATACTTTCTTGCTTCTTCCTCTAAATAGTTTTTTATCTTCTTTGTCCATGTTTTTAGGCGTTTAACTTTGGTCTTGTCATGTTATGGTCTTAAAAGTTTCTCTGGAACTAAATTTAATAGTTTGGTGTTAAGGCGGTGTGCTTACTGCTTTGGTTGGTTAAAGCTTTAGTGAGATTATTAAATAATACTTCTTACCTGTTTGTGTTTACTTGTATAATACTGGTGGCATAATGAAAATTCCTGAGCATCGAAAATGGATGGAAAATAGACTTCTCCCAGGTCGAGCAGGATATAAAACTGAATTTATAAGTGGCATGGAGAAGTTTATTGAATTTGCTTGTCTTCAACAGAAGTACTTATCTGAGGGAGTCATAAGGTGTCCTTGCAAGCGTTGTAAAAATATGAAGCACCTTACGCCAGATGAAGTTAATGCGCATGTTTATCGAAGTGGATTCACACCAAGATATTGGTATTGGACATCACATGGAGAGGAAGCACCTCCAATTAATTTAAATGAATATAACAATTTAGGTGCTTACAGTAGTCATCAAGGGTGTAAATTTGACAAAGCTTCAAGCAGTCAAAGTAGCATTCTAGGGGATGACTATGAACATGTAACTAGATATCAAGGTATGGTTTATGATGCTGCTGGCATAGAATTCGGGCATCAAATAGAACCCAATTTAGAAGAGCCTCCAAATACGAAAGCTACTAAGTTTTATGACATGTTGAATTCAGCTCAGCAACCATTATGGCCCGGATAAATATTCAGAGTTGGCTATGGCGGTTAGAATGATAAGTATCAAATCTGAACACAATATGTCCCAAAGTTGTTTTAATGCAATGGCACAATTGATGAAGGATTCAAATCCCCCTGATAATAAGATACCTCTTAATTATTACCAGGCAAAGAAGCTAATCTCAGGGCTTGGTCTAACTAGTCAAAAAATTGATTGTTGTGTTAATGGATGTATGCTGTACTACAAAGCTGATATAAACATGACCGAGTGTAAGTTTTGTCATGAACCTCGTTATAAAGAACAAGTGCGCAAGCAAAACAAGAAGGTTCTTTCCACGTAAGAGATTGCATTACTTGCCACTCATTCCTAGGCTTCAACGACTATATGCTTCCACAAAATCTGCAGAGCACATGAGGTGGCAATATGAAAATCGTAGGAAAGATGGCGTGCTATGCCACCCTTCAAATGGAGAAGCATGGAAATATTTCGATCGAACCTATCCGAACTTTTCTATAGAACCTAGAAATGTTAGGCTTGGTTTATGTTCTGATGGATTTACACCGTATAGCCAGTCAGCATCACCATACTCTTGTTGGCCAGTAATTGTTACTCCCTATAATCTTCTTCCAGATCTATGTATGACTGACCCATACATGTTCTTAACATTGGTCATTCTAGGTCCTCATAATCCAAAGGGAAAAATTGATGTATATCTTCAACCGTTAATAGATGAACTGCAACAACTATAGACTAATGGTGTACTAACTTATGACGTGTCAAAGAAGCAAAATTTTCTCATGCGAGCAACATTAATGTGGACAATTAATGATTTTCTTGCTTATGGCATGCTATCAGGGTGGAGTACAACGGGTAAATTAGCATGCCCAATTTGCATGGAACAATCAAAAGCTTTTTGGTTGAAATATGGAAGGAAAAATACTTGGTTTGATTGCCATCGCCAATTCTTGCCTTCTAATCATGCTTTTAGAAGAAACACAAATGCTTTCTACAAAGGGAGAGCAGAGAAGTCTAGACCTCCTCCAAGGTTAACTAGGTATCAAGTGTGGGAAAAAGTTAGAGGGTTTCCTAAGATAACTGAATCGGGTCTGCGCAAGTTCTATGGATATGGAACTTCCCATAATTGGACTAAAAGAAGTATTTTTTGGGATCTTCCATATTGGAAGACCAATCTGATTCGTCACAATCTTGATCTGATGCACATAGAGAAGAATGTCTTCGATAATGTTTTTCATACTGTTATGGACAACAAAGATAAAACTAAGGATAATGAGAAGGCAAGAATGGACTTGAAAGAACATTGTTGTCGAAATGATTTACACTTGCAATGTGATGGTAATGGGAGATGGATTAAACCCAAAGCAAAGTTTACCTTAAATCAAAACCAAAAGAAAGATGTATGTGAATGGGTTAAATATTTAAAGATGACTTATGGTTATGCTTCAAATTTAGATAAACGTGTTGATATGCAACACTTAAAGCTCTTTGGGATGAAAAGTCATGATTGCCACGCTTTTATGCAATGTCTTCTGCCAAATGCTTTTAATGCACTTCTGTTTTGTATGATTGCTTGTAGACTATAGTGAAAGTGCAACTATCTTTAGAACTTCACTCGATGTGCGTGACTTTCTTTAGAACTGTTGTCAGTTCCATTCCAATTAAATTGTTAGAAGGATTTCTAGTTCAACAATAGATGGATATAGACTAGAACACCCCATTGCTAATATAGTCCTGAAATGCCTAATATTGATGTTTTGTTAGGAAAGATAAAGAGGTGCCTGTTTGAGAGAAATTAAAAATCGTCTTTTCTTTTTTATTCAACTCCTTTCCCTCTTGACTTGTATGCTTGATTATATTTAGAAGGATAGGGGATTGAACCTTTTCTTGAGTGAAAATGCTCGACAATTTCTCTGTTTTTTGGCGAATATGCCTGGTGATGACTTACTCCACAATGAGCACAACTTCTTCTGGATTCCACCTTTCTCTGAAGAACCTTTGTGTCAGCAATGGAACAGAAAGTGTGAGTTTTAGCATAATAGTACAATTCTAGTCCTTTTTAAAGTGGTAGTAAACTCGTCAAGTGCACGAGCCTTGTAATAGTATAAATTTAACGATTTACAGAGAATAATTTTGACAAATTTGATGTGATTAATTGATGGGAATTGATTGAATGGAATGATGAGTGAAACTACCTTGTTAATTATAAATAATTGATAACTACTGCATTTTTATGTAGGTTTGATCCTCATAAGCCAGTTATTGAAGGCATTGCTAGCTGCATTCGTAGTAAATTTGAGCTGGCTAAACCTTCTTGGAAGAAATTCCCACAACCTACTCGGGATATGTGGTTTGAAGAATTTAAGGTAAGGATGTTTATAATATGATTCATGTTCAAAAGTTAGTGTGTAAGTTTATAGGACCGATTCAGATTTTATTTTGATATGTGTTGTGTTATAAAATGCTACAGAAGAAATTTAGATGGCTCCCTCACTATAATGATGTTATACGACACAATTTTGAGAAAATGGCATCTTCAAAAATAATCTAACGTTTCCAAGATGTTAGAAAGGACTTGTCTGTGAAGCCAAATTGGATGGGTGATGCCGTATTCAAGGAGATGAAGGAGCATTGGGAGTCTCCTTAATTTAAGTTAAAGTCGGAACAAAACAAAAAGAATCGTGATGCAAATGCAGGTGCCTCGGTTCATACATGTGGTTGTATACCTCATCGCGTAATTTGGAAGAGAATGGTAATATGTAATTCCTTTTTAATTTTTTCGTTCTATTAAATGGATCATATAAATGTTGATCGCATATACATCTTTCTTTAATTACAGAAGGAAGCTATGGGAAAAGGTCCTTCATTTTAAGAATTTTATTTTCGCACTCATCGATAGGAGAAAGATAAAAGTTGGGTAAATGAGAAAGCTGAAGTTGCTTATGTAAGTCTTCATTCTACAACATATATATATATATATATATATATATATATATATATATATATATATATATATATATATATGTATTGAAATTATGTAACTGTTGTTACTCTATTAAGTTGATAAATAAATTGGTTGTTTCAAGAAGAGCAGAAGAATTAATAGTCCAACAAACTTATGCACAAGCTTGCACTATGTAATTATGTCTTGCTAGAATTACTTGTCCCATCTACACAAGCAATTAGGCATTACACAAGTAATTGACAACCTCTGTGTTCATATGAACAGTGGATTTATTTGTAGCTAACAATTGTCAAAATTATTAATATTTGTTTTAATGCAAAATCACTAATATTTGTTTCAATGCTTTTGTGCAGATTAATTTTGAAAAAAAAAAGAAAGAAGAATTATTAGCTTCCCAAAGTGCATCTGTTGATGGAGAAACTAATTCAGCTAGCGAGCTTTCTCAATTAAGTGAAATGGATATTTGGGTGCTATCAGTTGGTGGAAAGAAAAAAGGAAGAGTCGCAGGTCTTGGCTCATTGGGTCGATCTGTAAAAGTGACTAAGCAAACAACATCTGATGTGTCGGAAGAAGTTGATGATCGGATTAGAACGTAAATTCATGCGTTAAATGCTGAGTTATATAATCAGTTGGAAGAGGCACAATGCCAAAATGAAGAGATGAGGCGCCAAAATAAAAAGATGAGATGCCAAAACAAAAAAATGAGAAAGGAGTTAGGTGACACAAATGAGAAATTAGCAGCACTGATAAAGCATGTGGGTTACCCGACATTATCTTCGAATGCACAACCATCATCTTCAAAAGACAATCAAGATTCACAGAGTGATAATGATGATAACAACAACTCGATAGATGAGTAAGATTATGATTGAGATACTAAGTATGATTAGGATTGAGATACTTGGTAGTACTATTTAAGATTTACAATTTAGACTTATTATTTTTGTTCATTTAGGAATTATGCATTATTAATTATTAATTTATGGATCATATTTTGGCTATATATTACTTCGGATTTGTGCAGAGCTGTTTGTTTGGAAAAAAAAAAAAAGAATGAATATCATATGTTCATTGAATTGTGTGGAATATAATTTGGGACTAAATACTAATAAATTTGCTTTTGAAAAATGTACTAGTTATTTGTGGATTTTCATTGGGAAGTGCCCTGAAGCAGATTATTCTTTTGTTGGAAATTTACCTGCAAATATACAATACATGGGGATTTTGCTAGGAATTCACCTGCGAAATTATTACATCAAATTCCCACGAAATTCCCTTTTTCCACGAAATTTTTATTGAATATTTTCTGCAAATTTACTTGGAGGTTTTGCTGCGGAGTTACATGCGAATATTTTCCATGAAAATCCCTAGGAAAACTCCTTTCTTTCACAATTTTTTACCAAACTTTACTACGATTTGTTGGTATATCTTGCGGAAAAATCCGCAAGCAACTTGCATAGGGATTTAACATTCCCAGGTAATGCACCTGCGACTAATGTTTTCCCAGGTAATTTACCTGGGGAATTTAAAATTCGCAAGTAATAATTACCCACGACCTTTATTCCTGCGGATTCCCGTTTGCATGAAAATCCCCAGGTAAAATATTTACCTGCGAATTTTACATTATAATCCCTAAAATAATCCTCATGTAAATGGCACTTTTCTTGTAGTGAATGGAAATGGACTAACTACTTCTTAACAGTAACACCACGTAATACTCCCCCTCAAGCTAAAGGGTGTAAGATGTTAATCACACCAAGTTTGCCTAGTAGGTGATTATGTTGAACCTGGGTCAGTCCTTTGGTAAGCAAATCTGCCAACTGATCTTTAGTGTTCACATAAATTGTTTGTACAATGCCAGCTTTAATTTTGACTCTGATGCAGTGGCAGTCTATCTCCATATGTTTAGTATGTTTATGAAAAATAGGATTAGCTGCAATCTGCATAGCTGATATGCCGTCACTCATAACTGCAACAGGAGTCTTGATATCTACTCCTAGCTCCTTGAACAAGCCTAGCAACCAAGTGACTTCTGCTACTGCTGAGGCTATGCTTCTATACTCAGCTCCTGCTGAACTCCTGGACATTGTCTGCTGCTTTTTGATTTTCATGAAATTAGAGATGCACCAAGTTTGATCACATATCTAGGGATAGATCTCCTTGTGTTAGGACAAGCTGCCCCGTCTGAACCACACCAACAAGCTAATGTTGTAGTAACAACTTCTATCTCAACCAAATGCCTTAGCCAGGAGATCCTTTCAGATACCTCACCACCCTTAGTGCAGCTTCCCAATGAGATCTCTTTGGCTGCTGCATAAATTGACTTAATGTGTGGATGGCACAACTAATGTCTGGTCTAGTGGTAGTGACATACATCAGCTTCCCTATCTGTCTTTGATATGAATCGACATCATTCAGAACTTCATCACCCTTAGCTCCAGTTGCTGCATCACGATGAAGTGTGGTGAGCCTGAGATTTGTTTCCAAAGGAATTGCAGCAGGCTTGGTTGCACGAAGCCTCACACTTTATATGATCTCCAAGACATATTTCCTTTGATTTAAGATTATTCCTTTCTTGGACCTTAGCACTTCAATTCCTAAGAAGTATTTAAGCTCACCTAGGTCATTCAGCCTGAACTTCTGATGAAGGACATGTTTTGCTTCAGCTATCAACATTTCATCATTTCCAGTTATAAGCAGATCATCAACATACACCAGGATAATCACTAGGCATGTACCCCTTGTCAAAGTAAACAAGGAGTAATCATGATTGCTCTGCACAAAACCTCCCTCTATTAAAGCATCAGACAACTTGATGTTCTATTGTCTTGAAGCTTGCTTAAGCCCATATAAGGACTTCAACAGTTTGCGTACCTTCTACTCCCCCTATCTTCTGAAGCTTTCAAGCATATCCATATACACCTCTTCACAAAGATCTCCCTGTAGAAAGGCATTGCAAATATCCATTTGATATAGGTTCCAACCTTTTGAGACAGCTAAGGCTATTACTGATCTTATTGTGACCATTTTCACCACTGGTGAAAAAGTATCATGGTAATCAAGCCCCTCTTGTTGACTATACCACTTTGCAACAAGTCAAGGCTTGAACCTCTCAACTTCACCATTAGCCTTATACTTAATCTTATACACCCACTTGGATCCTACAATATGTTTGCCATGAGGTAAGTCAACTACTTCCTATATCCTGTTGTCTTCTAGTGCTTTAACCTCTTGTTTCATAGTTCTATCCACCTTGGATCCTTCACAGCCTGCCTGAAGTGTTGAGGTTCTATCAGATTAGAAATATTTGCTAGGTAAGAATGATATACTGGAGTAGTTCTTTCATAAGATAGAGTATTTGCTATGGGATATCTGCTACTTGACTTCCCATGTGCTATGTAGTCCTTCATCCAGATGGGCTCTTTAAGCTCTCTAGTTGACTTCCTTATGGGTGGCTGAGACTCTTCTGCTTACATGTTCTCAGATGAAGAATCAATCATAGTGTTCATGGGATGAGAGATCTTATTTCCTTCATTTGTGGATACTTCTTCTGCTTCTGCATTCTGCATCACATTCCCTTCTTCTGTGGTTGCTTCTTCTGCTGTTACATCATGTTCATGTTCCTCATTTATATGACTGACTTCTGAAGTAGGAACATCATAGCTAGATTGTTCCAAGAAACTAAGATCTTCTGATCAGTTTCATTAGTAGACTGTCCAAAAGGAAATGTTGATTCCTTGAAGACTACATCTCTACTGACAAAGAATTGTCTTGTATTCAGATCCATCAGAATATATACCCTTTGTCTCTCAGAATATCCCATGAGTAAAGATGCCCTTGCCCTTTCTGCAAATTTATCCCCTTTTGGAATGACTGTTGAATAACATAGACATTCTATCACCCTCAGGCGTGTCAATGATGGTGGTTTGTTATGCATTACTTCATATGGACTCTTTCCTAAAATTGCAGTTGATGGAAGTCTGGTTATCAAATACACAACAGCTTTAACAAACATGCCCAATACTTAATGGGCAACTTTGACTGAAACTTTATGGCTCTTGACACATCCAAAATATGTATATGATTTCTCTCCTTCTGTTGTGGAGTATGAACACATCTAATCTGATGCAGAATTCCCTGACTTAGTAGTAGATCCGTTCATTGAGAGTTAAAGAACTCTATGCCATTGTCTGATCTCAAGACTTTAACCACCTTTCCAAACTAATTCTTTACCATAAGTAAAAAATTCTTTATTGCGACTATAGTTTCAGATTTAAGTTACAGCAGATAGATGCAAACATATCTACTGAAATCATCAACAACAGTTAGAAAATAGTACTTTTTATCAAAGGTGGGAATCCTATAAGGTCCCCAAAGATCCATATGAACAAGAGAGAAAGGAGCCTCATCTCTGGATGTACTGTTAGAAAACATCAGTCTAGTTTGTTTGGCTAATGGACAGACTGGGCAATTATTTAATGACTCACTATTTACATTCTTGCTTAGCAAGGTGATATTCTTCATAGCCATAAGGGATGGGTGTTCAAGTCTTTGATGCCATAGCCTGTAGTCTTCCTTTACTGTTGCAGCAACTACCATGCCCTGGTGAATATTGTTGATGCCATTGGCCCCTCTGAATATGTACAAACCTCCCGTCTCCTTACCAATCTCCCTCACCTTGCCACTGTAAAGGTCCTGAAACAATACAAAGTCAGGATAAAAGTTCACTAAACACCAGAGTTCCTTGGTTAGTTTGGAGATTGAGAGGAGGTTAAATTTGAATCCTGGGACATAAAGAACATCATGTATTGTTTCACTGCAAAATATGGCAGCCCAACCAGTAAGAGCAATAGGAATTCTATCTCCATTGGGTAAGTGAACTGCATTACTAGAGGCTCTTGAGGATTTTGTGTCATTTATCAGTCTATCATGGAAATTCACTATGTGATGTCTAGCACCAGAATCTACAATCCATTCCTCAAAATGATCTTTAGGCAAAAATTCACCTGTTATACCTGCCATGTTGACTTGACGGTCAGATGTTGTATCCTTGTTGAGTAGCTCAAGAATCTGTTTGTATTGCTCTTCTATGAAGTATGGTGCTTTCCCAGTTATTCCATCTAAGGCATCACTAGCTGATGAAGATCCCTGAAAATTAGCATCAGTGTTTCCAAGCACATTGTTGGCTACAACAAAGTATTGGTGAGATCCACGCCCAAAGCCAAATTGACCCCCATTGCCACGACCATATTGTCCACCATTATTGTTGTCAGGCTTCCTCCTTTCCTTGAAATCTTCAGGGTATCCAACAATCTTATAGAAGTTCTCCTTAGTATGACCTTTTAGGCCACAGTGGTCACATTGCATAAAGGGCTTCTTGCCTTTATATCCTTGATTTCTTCCTACCTACATAGCCATTGGATCATTCTTCTCATTCATTGAACCTAGTCCTGGAGACAGTTGAGATTCATCTTCTATCACCATAGCATAGGTCTGGTTCAGTGAGGGATCATTAGTCTTCATGAGGATTTGTCGTCTAGCTTGATCGTATGAGTCATTTAAACCACTGATAAATTGCAGAAGTCTTTGTTGTTGAAGATGTTCCTTGTATTCTGTTGAATTTGAAGTTGGCACTAACGCATCATACTCATTCCATAGACCCTTCAGCTTAGTAAAATAACTCGAAGCTGAGTCAGTTCCTTGTGTCAAATTGGCAATGGCTCTGTGCAATTGGAAAATATGCATTCGATTCACCTTATCAAACCTTTCCCTCAGATCTTCCCAAACCAAATGTGCATTCGAAGCATATGCAATTCCACTTAGAAGCTCAGTGGAAATTGTATTCATGAGCCATGATAAGACAATGACATTACAAGTTTCCCAGTGCTCATTCAAATCAGCTGTGAATGACTCCTTTGTACAAGTCCTAGTCACAAACCCTAACTTCCT